GGGGGGGGGGGGGAAGCCAAGCAAAAATCCATGCATGAATAGCTGACGTGAAAAACATGGATACAGCCGGTACAAGCAGAAAAAAAGTCACGCAAGCTTTAATCAACATATACCTGATTCAATAAAGGTTGCTTTGGGCCTTGGGCAAAAAACCTCTTTAGCTTCACTATTTTTATGGTGCTTCCCTTAGTTTGACCGTTATATTGAACGTATTTTGCTATTCCCTTGCGGGCCCACTGTGATTCAAGTCTTGATTACGAGAACTATATCAGTCCTTTCTGCGTTCTCAGGTACGCTCCAGAATCGATTAATTTCGGGACGTTTTCGCATCAGAGTGACGTGTGGAGTTATGGAGTAACACTTTGGGAGATGTACTCGTTTGGTCAGTTACCATATGGTGAAATGTCAGGGGGAGAGGTGAGTTAGTCGTTAAACGTAATTTCTCGCCAAGTCCCATGTCTCCCTAGCAGGTAGTCGCCGTGAGAAGGGGGTATCAACCATTGCGATAGTTTTGGCTGGTTTACAAAATGCTGTCACTAATGAAGCAGTGTTCTAAGGACGCGGTTCAACGACAAATTTTCGTCTTTTCAGTTGCTATAAACTAACTACCCGTTTGTAACAAAGGTTAGTAGAGGTCTAATTACAAAAATGCGCTTTATTGGAGTGTCAATGTATTTGGCACGAAAGTACTAACTGCGGACACTATTTTTACGTCTTTAATTGGAGAAGAGACCACCATTTTACGTGGTCATCCGAGCCACGCGAAGGTCTTACCGTTGCAGGGCAAATGTAGTACCTTTACTTCTCAGTTATTTTAAGACCCTGAGTATTGGTTCGGCCCCAGGAATCCAACCCTGCGACCTTCCGCTCAGCAGTCAAGCGCTTTACCGACTGAGCTAATCCTGCCGTGGTTTATAAAGATGCCACTAACCCGCGATTTAGCGTCCTTCTTTCTTATTTCTTTGGTCGTCGCTCTTTACGCCTGCTTGCTCCAAGATTTCTGTCGTTGGCTTACCAAAGGATTTCTACTGTAAAAATGTGATGTCCCCAGATTCCCTGCCGAATATCAGCCGCTGTAGAAGAAGCTTGAAGAGTCTGGGTTCGTTTGTTTGCCTTTGTTTGTAATGTTTTGTTTTCCTGTTTGTATCTCTTAAGGTGGATTTCCACTGTCGCGTTGTTTTTATACGTGCGTAAATATAATAGAAGAAGTGTATAAAGGTACGCGCGTACTTGCTCAACTTTTATGTTCACGCGCCGCTATTTCATTTACGCACATAAATTTTAAGCGAGTACGCACCTAAAAATTACGCGATAGTGGAAATCCACAATACAGATACAGCTTATCTAAACCTTTTCAGAAAGCATGTATTTCTCGTGTCTCAATAGATGGGAATGCTCACAACATCAAAGTGTCGCTCTTGCTGAAGAAATTGTCTTTCAGCTTACTCACTTCAAACCCTGCATGAGGGCAAGGTTAGGTTACTACTAGCGTGCGAGCAAGCTTTCCGGGCGTACCCCAAAGCTACTAAGCAGTACTATTGCTGTTTATTAAGCTGTACAAGGTTGCCTTAACTTTTGACTGTGGTATGGAAACAATCCTAAGTTTGACAGTATAGAAATGAAACTCACGTTATTGTTTTATCGTAATGCTTAGGTAATACGTATGTTGGAAGAAGAAAACAAACGACTCGAAAGACCTGAAGCTTGTCCAGAACACACTTATTCACTCATGTTGCAGTGCTGGGATTTAAAACCAGAAAGAAGACCCACATTTGAAGCATTACACAACATTTTTAGTACGAATCCTTTTTATGCAGATGTTAAACTACCGATAAAAGATAGAGGTGCAAGCTAATCAAACTAAAACAGTAATCGTTTGATTGCAAACAGCCCCTCTGTCTTATTGCCTGTTTGCACGGCGATTTTTGCTGCGAGTTTTCATGATATTTCGGAGGCATCTGTAAATTAAGGGTGACTTAATGGCAATTCGTGCACGCATAAACTTATTACATCCAACCCTCATCGAATTCTGATTCAATTTTCTTTGGCGATGTTTATTTATGTAAGATGCGCTTTAAGGTAACTATTGCATGAAGATTAGAAAATCACAATAAAATCGCTAAGAACGCGCTGTCAAGTCGCCGGGAATGTCCCGCTGTCCCCTTGGAATCCCGTGTTATTAGAGTAGACGCTTTGTAAACGAGGAGGAAAGGTTAGACTGATACAAAAAGCTGCCCACCTACCCCTCCGTTAAGCCAACATTTTGCCTTAAGTGGAAGTAAGTGTTAACGTTGACTTAGGGGAGGGTGTGTGGGTAGTTTCCCAGAAACGTTTAATGCCAAAAACGCATTCTCTCCTTTTCAAATGTGCGGTTGTTTTGACCAAGAGATAATGAGCTCATTCTCTCTTGTTTTGGCCTGGTGTCTTTTTAAGGGTAAACAACTTTCGAAAAGTTGCGATGTTTCTTTTTTTCGCGTAAGAACGTTTTCTAAAAGTGTCTAAAATGGCAAAAGGATTTACGAAGTTTATTTTTGGTGTAATTTAGTGACTGTACATAGCGAATCGCGTGCAGTTTATGAAAACTTCTAAAAGAAGTGCGACAAAAATCAATGTTACATTAGTTGTTTGCGTTGTTTTTATCTTTGTTTTTACACAAATCATAGATTTGGCATGGCCATCGCGAAAATTTAGTGGTGTGAAAATAGAAACCTTGAGATTATAAAACGAGGACGACTAGGAGAATGATATTTTTCAATACTAAGTAATACGCGAGTGTAAACCAGCGTCATGTCAAAATTGGCTGGAAAACGCGATATAGCCATGGCCATTCTAGTTACTACTGGTTTTAGCGAAAATGTAGTTGTGGCGGAAAACGGTTTTCAAATGTTAGAAGTTTTATATTTTGCGATCGGGAGAGGGCTTAACCTTCTTCAATAAAAATAACCGTGTCGACTTTTCTGGCGGAAAAAAGGTAAAATGAAGCTTTTTATGGTGTCTATTTTTTGAGAATACG